TGACACCATTCCTCCTTGTTCTGCCATCTGTCCCCACTGAGAACAGCCTCTCCCCATACTCTACATGCCAGGGATCCCTCTGCCCCACAAATAACCCCATGTACCCAACAAGTAGAAGAAAAACAAACACCTTCCCTAAAGGTAGCAGGTTCAAAACAAATTTCACGCAGTGCACAGTCAACCTGTGGAACTCCCTGCCAGAGGAGGTTGTGAAGAGCAGGACTTTCACCGGGTTCAAAAAAGAACTAGATAAATTCATGAAGGTTAGGTCCATCAATGTCTATTAGCCAGGATGGGTAGGGATGGTGTCCCTAGTCTCTGTTTCTCTGGAAATGGATGATAGGAGAGAGATCACAAGAGGATTGCCTGTATCTGTTCATTCCTTGTAGGGCACCTGGCATTGGCCACTGTCAGCTGGTCTGACCCAGTATGGTCATTCTTATGTTTTTATGAACTTTCATGGGTAAACCCATTTTTTCCAATGCAGCTCATTTGATTAAACGAATTATACCCACAAAAGCTCATGATACTATATATATATTTTTGTTAGTCTGTAAGGGTACATCTGCACTGCAGGACAAAGTAGAGTTAAGCTACACAACTTCAGCTACGGCAATTGCGTAGCTGAAGTCAAAGTCGCTCAACTCGACTTTTGGTGCTGTCTGCACAGCAGGAAGTCGATGAAAGAACCCTCGCCCTTTGACGTCCCTTACTCCTCGTGAAATGAGAGTTACAGGAGTTGGAGTCCGAATCCCGTTAGTTCAAAATTATTTAAAAATAATAGGGTGAGAGAAAACGAATTATTTCGAAATAAAGTGAGTTATTTTGAAATAATGAGAGATATTTCGAAATAGGCGTGCAATGTAGACATTGCCTAAGGCACTACGAGAGTACTCGTTGTTTTTAACATTACAGACTAACACGGCTACCACTTTGAGATACTTTTTTCAGATGGTCCCCAGTTGAGTTAATCCCATAGGGTACGTCTAACTACATGGTTCTGTTGACGGAGCCATGTAGATCAGTTTACTCGAAAAAGGGAAATGAAGCGGCGATTTAAATAATCGCCGCTTTATTTAAATCAAAATGGCTAAAAACAGATGCCAATCAGCTGTTTGTCGGCACAGTGCGGCAGTCTACAACGGGGTCCTCA